CTAAGTAACGTTGTCCAGTTGGATTTGGCTGTGAAAAAATAATATATATAACATTATTTTATTTAATAATCCATGCTGAATAGTTACGGCTTTTTTTTTTTTTTTTTACAGGAGGTGACCGATCCTTTCCAATATTATGCTTGTTTGTATCTAAGAAAGTTTTTCGTTTATACTTAGGATCAGAGTGTAGTATCGGCCCAATCCACGGGCCATCTGACCTATATCATTATTCCGCCTTAGATATCCGCCCTCATCTTTGTCGCCATATTTATTACAACGTTTCGTCCTTTCAGTATCTGTCTATATTTTTGAGATGAGGTATTATGTACACTATTTACATAATTCGGACTATTGTCCTCATCTTCGACGCCATATTTATTACGTTTCGGCCTTTCAGTATCCGTCTATAACGTTCTGATAAATATGGTGACAAAGATGAGGACAATAGTCTGAATAATGTAAATAGTGTACATGATACCTCATCTCAGAAATATAGACAGATACTGAAAGGCCAAAATGTTGTAATAAATATGGCGACAAAGATAAGGACAATAGTCCGAATAATGTAAATAGTGTATATAATACCTCATCTCAGAAATATAGACAGCTACTGAAAGGCCGGAATGTTGTAATAAATATGGCGACAAAGATGAGGACAATAGTCCGAATAATATAAATCTTACTTATTATAAAACGCAGGTTGTGTGTGTGTGTGTGTGTGTCTGTAACGTTTATATGTTGGATCGAATTTCCTACATTTTTTAGCCGATTTCAACAAAACTTCACAGGACTACATAAAATTACCTTGTGGTGGTTCTAACGGGGCCGAAAATGGGAAAAACACAGTTGTTTTTTAAGAAAATCATTTTGAAAACACGATTAAGACACATCGTGAGAATGAAAGGGGGACAACTCACCCACGAAAATGTAAACAAAAGAGCATAGCATGATGAAAAATACGCCGAACTTGACGAAAACAAAATTTTATCGTCTAATGTTCATATTATTATTAAAGAGGAAAGATCAAAGTATTTTGGGGGTATTTTTTTTTTACATTTTTTAATCGTTCTTAGCACGTCTGAAATTTTCGTTAAAAATATTGTTTTTTTTTTTGGTAAAAAAAAAAGGACAGATAATCAATCATTTTTTTTGATTTGATAAAATAGGAAAGATAATTCCACGTACTTTAGGGCCCTTTTTTCAATTCCCTTTGCAATTTGTTACAAGGCAGATCAATAAGGCATTGGTTCTATTTGAAATTAATTCAATATTTAAAAGAAAGTATTAAGAAATAATTTAAAAATGCCAACGTAAGAAATCTGATAGACAAAAAACAACAATATTTCGAAGATGATAATTATTAAGGAAAGAACGCAGTACTTGTAATAAATTAATAAACCCAAATAAAGTTAATATTTTTTGTATTAGAAACAACGAGTGGAAAATATATTCAAATCAGAATTCTAATTATGAATCACCACAAGCAAAATATGCAATTTTTTTTACTGTATTCAATAAGTAAAAATCATAAATTGTAAAAGATTACAGAGAAAGGCTATCTACATTTTTCAACCGATTTCAACAAAACTTCACTTTTTTTTGGTAGGATAGCAAGGTGAACAAGGTGGGAAAAGTTGTTTTTTTTTTTTTGTTTTTTTTCAAAACAAGTGTAATTTTTTTATTAAATAGAAAAACAAGTAGATTATCTCGTGGTATGAGATCAGGGAAAATGTTCCGCGCCAAAATAGGATAGCAAGGTGAACAAGGCGGGAAAGTTTTTTTTTTTAAGTTCTGGAAAAGGAACTCGTTAACACGAGGTGTAGATGTGCACAGATAAAAAAAAAAGTACTTTACTGTGGATTTGGGTATTGTAAGTGTGTGTAGTGTTTTGTGTTGTCTTTTTTTTATACCCTTTTTTGTTCAGGTTCACGGTAGTGAGAAAGTTCAGTCATCTCAGATTTTGGGATCAGGCATTGATTTTTGCTGCTAAAAATTATTTACGACGAGCCAAAAGGGACGAAGACTTATTTGTTGTTGGTTGCATCGTCTTGAAGAAAATTTTTTGCGACGAGCGAAAAGGGATGAAGAATTATTTGTTGTCAGTAAGATATCCCTGTCTGTATTTAAGGTTGACTGACGAGGGATAAATGAGTCAACTTCATGGATCGAAATTTTTAGCCCGACTGAACTCAAACGATTAGTTTGTCCGTGACGTCAGAGAAAAACGCGGGAAAAACGGTAATTTAAATTTGTTAGATATCAACAGGAGCTGATAAAACTACAATAACTTACTTATTTAAAACTAAAGAAAAGGTTTACTACTATATTTAGCTTAACGAGAAAGGAAGGGGTATAATTAGTGGAGGCGCGCGCACACACGCAAGTGTGGAAGGAAGGGAGGAAAACTCGCACGCGCGTAAAACGTAGATGGTATTACTGTATTATTTCCATAACTCATAACGATTGTAAACAATGTTTTTGTTTGAATTTGGGTTTGACCAATTCGTAAAAAAAAAAAAAAAAAAAAAAAAACTAATTAAGACATGCGTGTCCGTCAACATTAAACAATAATCTTTGTCAATTTTATTTTTCAGTCTTTATGATCGTCCATACTTGATCTATCTCTTACTGTTTCATCCCTGGGCAACGCCGGGCTCTACTGCTAGTAATATATATAATACCTCATCTCAGAAATATAGACAGATACTGAAAGGCCAAAACATTGTAATAAATATGGCGACAAAGGTGAGGACACTAGTTGGAATGATGTAAATAATGTATTATTTTGCCTGTTTGTATGTACGACCGTCACGCTTTTCTACCTAAGATCAGAGTGTAGTATCCTCTCCTACTCCGTTCAAGATGTTGAGTATGTTACGAAAAATGAACAAACATCGAAATGAAATCTAAATGCCAGAAATATATACTTGCTGACGGACGGTTACGGAAGATTAGACTCTCGACAGACTTTTCTCGGTTTTTGGTTATTTTTCCTATTGACCAACATTTTTGTCTTAAAGTTCCAGAGGATCCACCTTACTAGGCAGCACCTCCTCATGTTTAGTGTTAATGTTTCATAATCGAGTCAAAGGGAAATACCAAAATAATGAGGAATTTTTATCCACAGCCTTGTGTCCTCTGAGTGTCTCGCACATTAAACCCTCCTGTCTTTTGCTGTCATGTCTCATTAAGGCTTAGGTGATCACAGCACTCCACAGCTTCCTTTCTTTTGAGTCCCTTAGTAACTATAGCCTATTTATCATCTTTCATTTTTGTTCTATTTATTCACTTTTTTTAAGAGTTGTGACCCATCAGTACGGAGGTGATCATGGCTCTCCACAACGTCCTTTCTTTTGAGACTCCAAGTAACTTTTGCTCCTTTACTATCCCTCTTTTATTTGTTCTCTCATCCGTTCACTATTTCTCTGATGCGTCATGTTCGTCCAGAACGTAACATGATCATGGCTCTCCACAACATTCTCTTTGGCTACTCTAGTAGTTCTGTTCAAATACTTCTAAGAATTTGTAGGAGAAAACACATCTGTCTCTTTAAATCACTTCTTTAAATGCAATCAAATCAAAATTGTTCTTTCTTGCATTGACTAGCCACAGTCGATCATCTCCCTAAACAATACCTCCCCGTTACAATAAGAGGTATAGTGTCAGAGGTATTCTCTGAAGACAGTGTTATGCTGATAGCAAAGCTCAGAAAAATACCAAATTTTGTCTTTGCTCCACGTCCCTGGGGTAACTTTCCCAAAGGGATACTCTAAATTTGAGAAGGCTGGGTTCAAATAATTTCTTACAAAAGACCAACCTTCATGTTTGCATCCAAGAGGGCGGCGTTTGGTCTCCATCCGTTGTTTGAAATGACCCAGAAGAGGATTCCTTCAACGGCGGGATGGCTGAAGTAGACTCTGAGAAGGTCTTCGTAGACGGCCGTCCGATTGGCGAAGTCCGGGTTTTCGTAGGTCATCTCTGTGATCCAAATGGGCAGCCCGGCTTTGGCCACTTCGTCCAAACGGCGCTGAAACAAAGAGGACGGAAAAGAAAAAGAAGGAGGAGAGATAATTAAAGGCAACACACAAACACACACATATATATATATATATATATTGAGATATTTTCTGTTTATACGTTCTTTTTATAGATACGAAGTTGGATGGGCCGAGATAGATATGAACAAAGTGAAAGATTGATGGAGAGAGAGAGAGATGAAAAGGACTGAGATAGATAGATAGATAGATAGATAGATAGATAGATAGATATGGGGTCTGAAATACATATGTAGATAGAAAGATAGATAGATATGAAAAGGACTGAGATAGATAGATAAATAGATAGATAGATAGATAGATAGATAGATATGAAAAGGACTGAGATAGATAGATAGATAGATAGATAGATAGATAGATAGATAGATAGATATGGAGTCTGATATAGATAGATAGATAGATAGATAGATAGATAGATATGAAAAGGACTGAGATAGATAGATAGATAGATAGATAGATAGATAGATAGATAGATAGATAGAGAGAGAGAGAGAGAGGGTCAGATAGATATAAACAGAGGGAATGATAGATACAATCTCAGATATACCGGGTGTAACAGAATAATTGTTCATTCCACAAAATATTTAATATCTAAAAAATCATCTCAGCTGAGCAATGGTGATAGGAAAAATATCATTCAGGCCTTCAGTAATGGTACCAACATTCACACTCTAGCTTCTATCTTCAAAGTTCGTTCAAGAATCATCAAGAGAACGGAGAATGGGTTTAAAAAGGAGGGAACAGTAGGGAGGAAAATTGGATCATGAGGTCACAACAGGAAGAGGGATCCTCGTTTCAACTTAGTGCTAAAGAGATCAATTAGAAAAGATCCAAATCAATTTACAAGACATTTGGCAAGTGAAAGAGGAGTTTCACCTATGACAGGCCAAAGAGCAGTGAAAAATACTTGAAAATGAAATCGGACAGAAACTCAGAAGATTAAAGTGGACGAAAATCATCTTGAATTAGTCGAAAAATGGTCCTGAAATAATATATATATGAATTTTTTTCAATCCTACATGAGTTCCGATCCATAGCTATGATTAATTAATGATGAACATGTCATTTTCCTTTATGATCGATTTCATCACGATTCTTCTGTTAAGCTTGGAGAGTAATTATATATTCTTATTGCTAAAAAGTAAAGTCTAATAGTGTTGTAAAAACCTCGAGCAATTCCAGTAAGGTATCTTTAATCATTTCTAAAATACAACGTTTCAAAGATTAATCTAACAAATGAACAATTTTGCTGTTACAACCGAGAAAGAGAAAGAGAGATAGAGAGATAGATATGAACAGAATGAAAAAATAAATAGATATGGACAGACTGGGATAAATATGAACAAACTTTTCTCTCTCTCTCTCTCTCTCTCTCTCTCTCTCTCTCTCTCTCTCTGCATATATATATATATACTGAATGAGAGGATCTGCTTGTGGGCTTGAGCTGATATTGTAGACTAGGCGAAAGTGAACAACATCAAATCAAAGGAGCAAATGACAAAAATAAACACACTGCGCAAGGGCTCCGCGCATCCTTCCAGGTTTCAAACATGCTTTAAATTTTCAATTTAATAAAAATAAATAATAGAATGTGGCACAAAATCTCAGTTTAATGTGGAATTTCAGAAAGCCGTGTAAAAATGGCTCAAACCACCTTGGTACTTCACCTTTTGGGAGGCCTATATATATATATATATATATATATATATATATATATATATTAGAGATAGAGAAAAGATAGAAAAAGATAGATAGATATGAAAAGACTGATAGATAGATAGATAGATAGATAGATAGATAGATAGATAGATATGAACAGGACTGAGATAGATAGATAGATAGATAGATAGATAGATAGATAGATAGATAGTAGTCAGAAATTGATTTTCTATTGATCTTTTCAACAAGAATGTAATTCTGACCTGCAGTACATGAATCACCGGTGCCTTCCTCAGATGAGACTGGATGCCAATGCCGTATAAAGGTGCCGCGTCTTGCAGAAGTAATTTCGCTTGGTCTGCGATGGCCTTCAACGAAAGGTAAGAAAATTATTAGAAGAGGTCTATTGATATTAGCCTTTAGTATTTGCGTAGTATCCAGATACTGTATGGCAGTCAATGGTCGCAATTGAAGGGCATCTGTAAAATTGCTGCTCCATTTCGAAATGACTTTTGAAGAATCTCACAACGAAAGAGATATCTGCATTTCTATTAGACTTTCATCGTCAATGTTGAAAGATGAAAAAATTGTACAATTTGACATACTATAAACTTGTCTGATTTACGATGCACTAACTGTTGTAAAATGGTCATCTATCTATCTATCTATCTATCTATCTATCTATCTATCTATCTATCTATGTCAGTCTGTTCATATCTATCTATCTATCTATTTATCTATCTATCTGAATCCGTTCATATCTAGCTATCAATCTATATCAGTCGGGTCATATACATCTATATATATATATATATATATATATATATATATCAGCATGTTTATATCTATCTATCGATTTATCTCAGTCTGTTCATATCTATTATCTATCTATCTATCTATCTATCTATCTATCTATCTATCTCAGTTCTTTTCCTATCTATCTATCTATCTATCTATCTATCTAAGTCTGTACAAATTTATCGATCTATCTCTGTTCCTTATGATCTATCTATTTCAGTCTGTTCATTATCTATCTATATGTCTGTCGATCTATCTACCTCTCTCTCCCTCTCTCTCTCTCTCTCTCTCTCTCTCTCTCTCTCTCTATATATATATATATATATATATATATATATATATATATATATATATATATGGAGCGATGGATAAATTGTCAAAATTACTCAAAAATTAAAATAACATTAACATCACATTTTAACAGATATATTATCATATCCATGATTTTCTTCCCGATGCCGCTTGGACTGAATGTAAGTGTAAATTCTATGCTAACAGTTTTTTTCTATCGCACTTCTCACTTGTGGAAATCTCTTTTTGCTTTCCAGCCAACATTGACATTCAAACATTTAAATGCAAAGTCAATCGCTATCTTTTGTCTTCTTAATTCTTCTTCTTTTATTGTCCTCTCTCCTTAATAGTAGTTTTTCTCATATTCTCTAACACTCAGTAACCCTTGCGTCCTAGTGGCTTTATTGCCTTTGATCATCGAACATTTAAATGCAATGTCAATCGTTATCTTCTGTCTTCTTAATTCTTCTTCTTTTATTGTCCTCTCTCCTTAATAGTAGTTTTTCTCATATTCTCTAACATTCAGTAACCCCTTGCGTCCTAGTGGCTTTATTGCCTTTGATCATCGAACATTTAAATGCAATGTCAATCGTTATCTTCTGTCTTCTTAATTCTTCTTCTTTTATTGTCCTCTCTCCTTAATAGTAGTTTTTCTCATATTCTCTAACACTCAGTAACCCCTGCGTCCTAGTGGCTTTATTGCCTTTGATCATCGAACATTTAAATGAAATGTCAATCGTTATCTTCTGTCTTCTTAATTCTTCTTCTTTTATTGTCCTCTCTACTGAATAAGTTTTTTCTCATATTCTCTCACATTCAGTAACCCCCTTGCGTCCTAGTCTATTTTTTGCATTTCAAGGAGTGGAATGATTACAGTTAAAATAGCTAGATGTAACCGTAAGTTCTATGCTAACAGTTTCTTCTTCTGTTAAACTTCTCGCTAGTGGAACTCCATTCCAGCTCCATGCTATCTACAGTCCTGATTATTCGCTTCTGATTCTGCACATTATTGTTTTTCTTCTTAATTCTTTCACAGTCCGTTACCCCCCTTGTATTTTAGTTGCTTTACTGTCTTGTATGGAGGTGATACCTATTTAAAAAAAAATACTTTGACAACTGATACACGACATCGATCGCAGAATGGTTTTTGCCAAATAAATATTGTCTGCGAGAAGATGAAGAAAAAAAACAGGGAACAGTTAATCAGACATTAAATTTCAAAGAATATATTTAATAATGTATGTTTGAATTAGGTACCTCCATTTTTTCGCGGGAAAACAGCAAAGCGTAATGAAAAAGGCTTAATAAAAATAAAGGTTTATCGACAAAATGTTTATGTTATTATTAAGATGAAAGAACAAAGTATCTTTTGATTATTTTCTTTGAATCTTTAATCCTTTCTAACACGTTCAAAATTTTGGTTAAAATCTTGTTTTGTTTACGTCATCGCGGGTGGCATAATAATTACATTGGCTTTTTTGCCCTTTTTTCAGTTGAAATCACATTGATTTGGAAATTCTTGTAAAAATCAAATAATTGTCCGATTTTAATGAAACTTTCAGGAGTTATTTACAAATGAATGAAATTATTTTTAAAAATTTTTTTAGAAAATTTTAATAAAATATATTTTTTTACATATGTTACCCGACTTACTTAATTTCATGAAATTTCACAAAATTTTCAGGACTTATTCACAAATTAATAAAATTATTTTTAAATTTTTTTTTTTTTTAGAAAATTTTGATAAAAATATGTTTTTAAATATGTTAGCCCACTTTATTTAATTTCATGAAATTTCGCAAAAAAACCTTTCTATTTCCTAAATTTTTTTTTATTCGTTAAAAGTAGGACTTCTTGGAGAATGTAAATTACCTAATTTTTTTTACAAACGTGCACTATTCTAACTGAAAATCTGTACGGAACTGAAAAATAATAAATGCAATAAAACTATGACAATATTTAATTAGAAAAGCTTTTAATTGCTTTTGTAATTAAGTTATATTAAGAACACTATTATCTGAAGAAATAAAATTTTTCTGATGAATAATGAATTTTTTACAAATATTTTTTCATTTTTTAAAAATTTTAATTATAATAACTTATAATGGTTTAAAATCGTGTAAAATTCTGTATCTAATATAGTAATTAAGTGGAAACGAAATTTACGAATTGAAAAGATAAATAAACTTACACTATTCTATTTTTAAAATAATTTTTTATTCTTTTACTGAATTTGTTCCCTTTTTCAACTATGAAAAGCTAAACGTGATATTATTATGAATAGGTCAAGTGATCTAAGAGTTTTGTCGCTTTACAGAGAAATTAATTTAAGAAAATTTTATAGTATTTATTTTTTTTTCATTTTTGCATAAACCATCTTAGAAAGGTAAATGAAAGTCAGTAAATTATTAGATAATTGCGTAAAATATGTTTATTTGTAAAAATTACTATGTAGTTAAAAATAAAAATGAAAATGCGTTCACTTAGATTTCGAAAATTTTATGTTAATTCTAGTCAGCCATACTTGCTGTCATCGCTTCATCACTCAATCGTCCGTCAATCATTGTCTCAGATAAACATGACCGATCAATAACAAATGGTTGTGTATTAATTTTTTATGCTATAAGTAATTAATATTTCTTTCAAATCAGATTAATTTAACTTTAAATTTTGTACTTTTACTCAAATGACGTGTCAGAAATAATTGGAATAGTTTTAAAATCGATAAATTTGTTTTGTTTACAAATTTCTTAAAATAAAGAAAATGACCGCTTTTAAGAAAATTTTAAGAAATCGAAATTAAATTTGACATTACAATATATATATTTTCTATCTGAAATACACCAGAATATTTTAATTACTGGAAATAATAAATTTAATCATTTAGCTTTCAATTAAAGCTAAAATGAAATATTCAAGAAAGATTTTTCATTTTTAAAAATTCCTTTTAAACCTTAGGTCTCGAAAATTTATGCCAAAAAAGTGGAGGTACCTAGTTTGAAATATATATATATATATATATATATATATATATATATATATATACAAGGATAAAGGCAAAAGAAATACACCTTAGCGACGCGCTTCGTCTTCTGATGGACTTTATCAAGGCAAATGAAGGGATTTCATTTTGCAACAAGTATTTATAAACAAAACTAAAAATGTCAGTCTTTCAAAATTTTTAAATTTAAGAAACGCTCATAAACATTCATCAGGTTATGTAAATTATGGAGGAAGCTAAGTGATGTAATTTAAGGAAAATTAGAAACATCGCTTATAAATATACATCAGGCGAACTGGAAGTCATGGTAAATTATGGAGGAAGGTAATCGATGTAATTTAATAAAAATTAGAAACATCGCTTATAAATATACATCAGGCGAACTGGAAGTCATGATAAATTATGGAGGGAGCTAAGTGATGTAATTTAATGAAAATTAGAAACTTCGCTTATAAATATACATCAGCCGAACTGGAAGTCATGGTAAATTATGGAAGAAGCTAAGTGATGTAATTTAATGTCTAATAAATGAAAGTGAGTAAATAATGATTTTTTAAAATTTTCTCTTACTTTATTTTTTGATAAGTGTGGCATTCATTCGATCAAAGTTGTGGCTGAATTTATTTCTATGTGTGCATTTGATAAATTGTTCTGTGTAAGATCTCTTTTGTGATCATAGATATGTTTTTCTTTAAATTTCTGCAAGGACGAAACGCGTCGGCTAAAATAAGTTTTCCTTTTGTCTTTATTTATATTGTCCTGACTCACCACTGTCGACTTGCTGTACTGTACAATCGAGTTGTCGTTAATGAAGAGCTTGGCCAACGGAACTGCTACGTGCACTTTTTGGAACATGACCGTCGTTATATTCGGATTGCCCGTCAAGCTTTCGTAGACGTCACCGTCCAGATTTTCATTATTGACGTCCCAGTGACTCAAACTGTGGTCAAAGACGAAGAACGGGAATAGAATACGGAACAAGGAGACTTGAAGGCTCTGCCTCCTATACGTAATACTATGCTATTGGAAGTATTGTAATATTTCAACACTTTTCAAATGAATCTTTGTTTTTACGCCAGCATACATAACAGTCATTTCTAGGGCACCCGACGTGGTGTACTGGTTAGGAAGCTCGTCCCGCTAAATCAGTTACGACTGAATAGAGAGTTCGATCCTCACTGGGTGCCCCATACTTTCGGTCTTGTGCCCACATCTAAGCTACGCTTAGGAAAAATCACCATAATAATTATACCTACAAGATAAAGAACAAATAGGAAACGTTTATCAATCTAACATGTTTCGCTTTTAGTAAAACTTCATCAGAGAATAAGATATGGAGAAGAAGAAAAAAAAATGGAAAAATTCTGGTATTTTTTACTTTTGTGTTTTTTGATTTTCATTGGTTAATC